ACTAACTCAGTGCACAGCATCACTGTAGTCCTTGCTGTTGTGATCAAAACAGCATTTTAGTTTGCGTTTTTCTTATTATTAATAAAAGGGGTATTTACTAATCCACAATAAAAGGTAGAACCATCAATGAAATGGCTGTTTTACTCACAGGGCTACTGATTCACTTTTTCTACAGGGGACAAAAAAGTGGCTTTGTCACCCATCATAAAAAAGTACTAATCAATATGGATGAAATTCTCTGGTGCAGGCAGAAGGGGAGGGAGTCATCATTGCTGTTGAAGAGAAAGGCTCCCTCGCAGTGACTTGCAGGCTGGGGTACCAACTCCCGGGAGCCAGCAGCCTCACGCCGACTGCTGAGCACCCAGCCTGGGGCCGAGAGCAGGCAGACCTGCACAGGAAGGCGCTCAGCACACAGGAGCAAGGAATATTCCCCCAGATTTGCTAGCCTGTGCATCAGCTGGTGAGTACATTCCGTTCTCTCTCACATATATTGTATATGCCACAGCAGGTGGCAGGCCCTGGCTTCCATAAAACCGTAATGAAAAATTTCACTCTGAGACCTAATAAGCATCCACAGGGGTCCTTGGGGGACAGGGTGGGGTCTGCCTGGCCCTGTGGGCTAACAGGAACGCACTGCAGGGCCTGTGCTGGTCTGACAGGTCCATTGCTCTGCCGGGAATATAGTAGGTGGGAGCAAGCCAGTCTGATGAGTAATGTAGCACTGGTTCTGACTTTCCCCTGATGTCTACAGACTGGGCCATGGCTTCCAGGAGGCCAGCTGATGGGCAGGGAGGTGTCTCCCAGAAACCTTCAAGGAAAAGATCCTCACTGGCTCGGCTGCTTTGGCCTGAGTGAAATGCCTGCAGCACCAGCACTCCTAGAGGCTGCTGCATCCTCAGCACCATCTCGATCCCACTGGCCAGTGTGTGGCCCCTGCAGTTGATCCTGAGAGCTGCAGAGCAGCGATGGTGCTCGGCCAGCCTGCATACAGAGCCCGAGCCCGCTGGGTGCCGCATGCTGCTGAGCAGTCTAGGAATGGAAGCCAGGCTCTGCAGACAAGCCTCGTGTTCCACTCCCCGACTCATAGCCTCTAACGCCAAGCATCCAACCCAACCAGCCCTGCGCCCCCGCCCACACCCACAGCTCCCTGCTTACTCTCAGACACACCGAACATCACCAGCGTCTGTACAAGAGCACAGCGCTCACTTACAGCCATCACTGCGCAGTGGCTGTTGGAACCAGTTTCTGAGAGGCCCTCGTAACGTAGGGGCCAGTGTTTTTGGAGGATGGATGGGCGAGCAGAAGAGGAAAACAACAATGAACTTCATCAACCGTTGTTTGAGCGCTTGGCGTAAGCCAAGTTCCCTTTACCCCCCAGTATGGTGGGGGCTGCTGTGACCTTCATGGTGGAGATTAAAAAAAATATTCTCACGTTGATCTTTTGCTCATTCACTCACTCAGTGGCCCAAGAATTTTAGAATATATAAATTTCAGGCAGTAGGGCAGTTGCCCCTGCACAAAAGGAGCTTAAAGTCTGGTGGGAAAAAGAAATAGTAAAACATAAATAAAAATTGCAATACAGTATACCCATAGCATGCCTTTATAATACAGATTCCAAGAGAACTCATGGAATCTCTTCCTCTGCACCGCAATATTCTCTTCAGCAGAGCAGTGCCCAGCACACAGCAAACATCCAGAAAACACTCACTGAATGAGCGAATGAATGAATGAGCAAATAAATGAATGAGCAGTGCATGCCACAGTGCATTTCACCCAATGACAATGATAACAATGATAACATAAACTATTCACTAAGCATTTCCCAGGGCTGAGCACCGTATCAAGCACTTTTCGGGGGGTACTCTCACATCATCGTTGCCACAATGGCCACATTACTCAGTGAAACCCTATGATCCCCATTCTGCAGATGAGGAAAGAGATTCTGCAGATGTGCAGAGAGTTATACTCAAGGTCCTGTAGTCAGAAAGCAACAAAGCAGGCCTGCACACCCCTCAGAAGCCTGTGCTGCCCCGAAGGACAGAATAAGGCGAAGGGCAGAGAGGGAAGAGTGGAAGGAGGAGGGTGTCAATGGCTGCAGAAGCAGTCCGTGAAGGAGATGGAACAGTTTGCCATTAAGTGCAGTGGGTTCTAAAAACTCTTTTCACAGATGTGACGCCCTCTGGACTCAGATGTGAGCACCTCAAGTGAAAATGCTGGGACTCCATAGTGAGTGGGTCCAATCCCCAGCTGTTTATTCAGAGCTCCAAAACCTGCAGCTTGTGGAGGGGGAGGGGGGCAGAAGCTGTGAGCAGGGGCAACCCTGAAGCCCTCCTCTCTGTCTTCCCTCAAAGAGAAGAAAGCCAAGGACAGGCAAGGACAGAGCCTAGGGGTGTGCTAGAGCAACTCCATGGAGTGACATGCCAATTCCACATCTAAATCCCCAACTCCCAGTCCTGCTGCTTCTACTGATTCAAGAAATGAAGCAGCAATGCTATGACCATGCCTCTCGACATTTTCAAGAAGATAAAGTGAATGCTGTCCCTTTCTTAACCCACGTGGACCCTACGGTAAACTGCCTTAATCTTGCCAATAAGCATGAATTGAGTGCCAACTGTCTATAAGGCATTGTTCTACACACACTGAGCATTCAATGGTGATCAACGCATTCTACTGGGGATAGACAAGAAAAGAAAAGAATGAAAAATAAGAGCATTTTAAAGAGTGATGAGCGCGGTGACACACATGAACAGGACGGTGGGCTAGAGGGCTCATGGCGAGACAGGGAAAGTGGGAAACAGCGAGAAGAAAGCCTCTGGAGGGCGATGAGCTTGGCGCGTTGCAGGAGAGGCCTGTGGCTGGAGCACAGGGAATGAGGAGCGGATAGGACAGGGTGAGTACGAAAAGACAAGCACGGGTCAAGTCCGCTACAGCCTAGGAGGCCGCCGGAAAGATCTGGGGCAGTGCGCTGCCGCTGGAGGCTTTCACCGGCAACGTAACATGAACTGGGTCTTGCTTTAAAAGGCTCCCTCTGAATGTCACGAAAATGGACACACGTGAGGGACACACGGTACTGAACTGGCCCTCACTGTACCTGGCACAGGACTCAGAGATGCCACCTCATAAAGATAATTCATCCGCACGCCAGCATCCATCAGCCGCTTAGACTTCCACCTTCCGCCAGGAAAGACCACTTCCTCTAAAACTCAGCTCCCCTCTCCCTTGTCATTCCCTCCACAGATGAGGTGACAATAAAGGCTTTATGCCCGAGGCTCACACATCTGACCACTTCTAAACAAGTCCTGAAAAGAGACAGAAGAATTGTGTGGGGGGAGGGAGGGCCAGGGAGAAGGTATAAATACAATTCAATCCAAGCAATGCCTGAAACGCCACCACCACGAGAGACCAGCAATCCAAGGCTACAATCAAGGGCCGGCTAGTCACTGGGCTGGTCAAATGTGATGACTGATGCAGAAGCCAAGACGTGACACAGGCCAGCTTGACAGTCGTCTGCTAAACAACCTCTACAGGAAAACACAATTTCAGCATCAAACACACCGAAAGGCGGCCCACAGGAGTCTATATCTGTGGCAAGATCGCGCCAGAAACCCCGCTCATCTGACTCTGCTATTCATAAATTCTCCCTCCTGTTGGAGCACATGTGTTTGGGAGAGGAAAACGAATCCAAGTCAATTTTAGACATTGTTACTTGGAAGCCATCTGGAGTCCCTGGAAGCATAAGAAGTCTCCGCATGCCCTGCCCTCAGATGCCCACTGTAATTAGGGCAGTGTGCTTGCTTACATGGGAATGCAGGGTCCCCTATTCCCCAGGGATGTCCCTGCCCACACCTGACCAGATGCCAGCTCAGGCTCCACTTCCCACCCAAGGAAGGTATTTGGTTTCTCAGTCAACCTAGTGGAGAGCCCTCAAGGTGTTGAGCTTGCACTTTAATTGCACCCGAGGCCGGCTTCTCTGTTTTCCACCGGCTTCAAACCAGCACACCTGAATTCCTTCACCACCATGGCAGCTACGAAACTCCTCCCCAGGGGGCAGAAGACGGATGAAAAACCCCCTCCAGCACAAAGCGCTGTGTTCAGAGCATGCCTAGTTTGGAAAGAGACCCACCAGAATCCTTACGTAATGTTAACGTGTGTCGGCACCCCGCAGAGCGGCTCCTGGGGACACTAGCCCAGCCGTGGCCCATGTCGCTGTGATGACAGCAGGCTGGGTCTTGCAGCTTCCTAGGGCCTGGCTCTTTCTCTCCTCCCTCAGATACCTGGCTGTGATCCTCTCTCTCTGCATAGCTTCGCTTCCCCAGAAGCTGGGCCTCCCTTCCTGCAGCCTCTCCCCCTCCACTGAAACCAGTTCTGGAACCAAGCTGACAGCAGCACCATGCCACCAGCACCTCCCCTACCACCACCCCCAACCCCCACCTCTCCACCCAACGCCCGGGGTGGGGGGAGGTGGGGGGTGAGATCCAGAATCCTGTACAGTCATAGTCCCAGAAAGCAAACACCACCGCGGGAGGGAGGCTCAGCTCTGCTAAGCCGACCAGGCCCAACCCTCGCCCTGGACCCCTCAGAGGCAGCGATGAATTGGGCGCAGGGGAGGCATATTTGGAGAGCGACTGCTCTAGGTGGCTCCAGCACCATCAGAGCAAACACCTGTTTCCAGGAAGCGACATGAGCAAAGGGAGCGAGAGGGGAGTCCAGGGACAGGCGGGGAGGACGAGGTGAAAGGGCAGCTGGGGACGCAGGTGAAGGATGCGTCACACTCTGCACTTGGCAACCGGCGCCTGGAGCAGCAGGCGGAGCGCGAGAGGGGCTCCGGGGTCCGGGAAGTTCGGAGAGGAGGGGTCGCCCCGGCGAGCAACACCTCGCGGGGGACCAGGCAGCAGGGAGAGCGGTCCGGAGGCCCCGCGGGTTCCATCACCTGGGCGCTGCCGGCGAAGGCAGCCCGGCGGCGGGCGCGCACCGGCTGCGGCGGCCGGCGGGTGACCTACCTGCCCACCGTCTGGTTGGCCAGCTGGCGCATGCGGTTGAACTGCTTCTTCATCGTGGCCCCGCTGCCGCGCTAGCCCGGGAGCTGGGGAAGGACGGAGCCCGCCCGCCGCAGGTTACATGGCTCCCGCGCGGAGCCTCCCGGGCGACGGCGGCGGCGGCAGCGGCACTGCGGAGCCTCCGGGCGCCTCTGGCCCGAGCACGGCTGCCTCCCGAGGGCACCGCCGCTTACTCTTCCTCCCGCCGCGGCGCCTGCAGCCGCATCCTCCTCACGCGCTCCACCGCGCCTCCATCCTACCGCCCGAGGTCTGCGGGAGCGCCGTCCAGGTCCGCGGGGCTGCCCCCTGCCCGCCCCCAGCCCCAGCCCCAGCCCCAGCCCCGCGCTGGGGACCCGGGAGTCTCTGCAGGCTAGCTGGCCCGCTGGCTGGGTGGTCTCCGCTGCGCCTGTGCGGAGGGCGCTGAGCATTCTGGGACTTGTAGTTTCTCATCCCAGAGCCCACCTTGCCTCTGACCAAAGTTACCAAATAGAGCAGGTTTTCGGAGGTGGGAGGGGGCTGTGTTCTCCACATGGGCTTTGCACTTTGGCATCATTCGAAGAAGGAAGCGTTTTCCTGCTTTAAAAATAACAGAGTAGAACCAGGAATACAGCAGCGAAGTAAGAAAGTGAGCATCCGTCTTTCGTTGTATTTTAAATGAATGTGAGAAATTGATATTTTGGATTCACATGAAGAAGATTCATGCTAGAAGGCACATCGCTCATAAAACTGCGTCAGGTCGTCTGATGAATGTTTAGGCGCAGGTTTAAGCTTGGGGCATTGGGGTTGACAGGCAGATTTTGAACTAGGCATGGCGTGCATCCTAGAAGCTTGATTCTTAATTTTCACCAAACCCAGAAGGTGACCAGAAGCCAATATAGAGGATATAAATGATTGTGGCATTGCATCAATGTACCAAATTAGACTGGGACAACTTCCGTGAATAACTTAGGTTCCAGTCTCATAGCTAATCACATCTCCCTTCCAACCCAGGAGACCCAGGGGCACCAGCTGTGGCAGGCCTGGAGGGACCTGCTTAGCAGCCCATTGGTGTCAGTGGGCTCTTTGAAAAGGGGCTCTAACTTTCTGCAGGCTCTGTCCATAGGGCAATGCAGGTGGCTGCAGCTTGGTTTTATCATTATCTATCAGATAAGAGCTGTATTGTTGAGTGATAGGGGCTTTGGATCAACGCATTGTACTTCACATATTAGAATTCCAAATACTAATTGTATAACCATTAAAAAAAAACTGTATAAGCTCTCTATGCCTCCATTTTCTCATCTCTAATAGAGAAATAATACTTCCTAATAGATGGGAAAGTTCAAAAACTATGTTAAATTACCAGTAAAATGGTAACATAAATTTCTATATAATACATTATGTCATACTTATTTACTAAAAATATGATTATAGTTGGCATAATAGAGAGAGTACTATTCCTGCAACAGAGGTATAATCTGATAAATGAATGAGTTTTTTTTTTAAATGGAATATTCTACATATGTTGATTATAGTCACAAGATGTCCTAAATATGGTTGTAAATCTCCTGCTGGCCAGCTGGACAAAAGATGGTTTGAGGCATGTCTTGGATGAATGAACATGGAATCTTTAATTAATTGTGAATTTAGCCTCTGCTTATTGGGTCAGGCAGTTCTAGCCAATTAATAGTAAAGCGTTATTTTCTTTTAACCAATGATAACAGCAATTTAAATTTTATACAAACTGAAATCATTTCCATTTGAGGTTTTCTGTTTTTGTTTTTTGTTTTTTGTTTTTTTTTTTTAAGTAAGGCATAGCATGGTTTTAATATGTATAAATAATAGTATGGCATGATGAACCCTGTGTGACTTTCAGCAGCAATATCTCTGGTAACATCTAGATTTGCACTGTCCAAAATAGTAGTCACTAACCACATGTGGCTATTGGAAATTAAATTAATTAAAATCAAATAAAACTTAAAATTTAGTTCCTCATTCACCGTTGCCACATTTTAAGTGCTTAGTAGTCACATGTGGTTCAAGGCTGCTGTATTGAAGGACACTAGCCCTAGAGGACTCTGCAGATAACTCCAGTATCGTGCCAGCCTCTGCCTTCAATCCCAAGATATTTCCATTCAAAAAAGGGAATCTCTTCCTCCCCCTAGGACAGCTAATCCTGCTAAATAGAGTGTGGTCCAATAATACTTTGTTAAATGATGGCTTCTTCACACAGCTGCTCTTCTCCTCTGAGCTTCTCCTTCAGTTAGGGGGCAGTGATGCTTTCTCTGCTTTCCAGCCCAGCGAAGGGATGACAGTGCAGAAAAAGGGGAAGGTGTCAAGTCTACTCGTCATCTTTCAAAGCTGGCTTCGGAAGTACATGTGAGGGAAAAGGGTTTCGAGTCTCAAGAATATGGGCTTTGAAACTTTAATAGTCTATCTCACAAATAAAGTTTGAAGAATGTACTATGCTGCTTATTCCAGATAAAGAACCCACAGGCTGAGGGGTGTTGAAGATGAAGAGGGAAGTGGGACAGGAGAGGGGGAGAGAAATAACTGATAAATGTGCAGATTTTAGGACTGCTCATAAATTTTACCGCCTGTTATTATGGGAAGGAGTTATACTTCATCTTCTGGATCGATCCTGTGATTTTCCTTGGTCATCAGAATGTGCACAGAAGCGATTTATGCCACTTCCACATAGAAGTTTTACAAGTCATTTTGTGATCCTTTGCCCTTTCTTCACTCAACCATAATGAGCCAGTAGGAGATACTGAGGAGTAGAGTTGTGGCCATCCAGCTGGAGCGAAAAACATACCTTTGTTCTTGTAAGTCAGAGAGGTTTGGGGATTTTTTGTTACTGCAGCATAATTGAGTCTAAGCTGACTACTGGTCTGTACCTCGCATCTCGCCATGGTCAAAACTTGGGTCAGGGGCAGGCAGGTTGGGGAAAATATACATTTTGGGGGATCTGGGCACAGTGGAGGATCTACATGTCAGTTCTTCAGTGAAAGCTAGGAGTGGAAAAGTTCCCAGAAATCCTCAGCCTTCTATGACATGGCAGTAGTAAAGATGCCTGCAGAGTGCCTGCAGTGCTTATGCACAGTCCTGTGATGGCCCAGACCTCCCTGCATGTAAGTGTGTGCCATGAGGGTGCCCAGAAGTACCTGGAAGAGCTGGATGTGAAAGCTGTTAGGATCAAAGATGATAAGAAGGAAGCAATGGTCAAGATGTGGAATAAATGAGCCCTGAATTACCTGAAATTTAATTTTTGCCATGAGAGAAATAGACTTAAAATTAAAAGTAAATTCATTTGAGGGAGGAGGAAGTGGAGGAACTGGAGGACAGATTAAAAAAAAAAATTATATTCTTAAGTGTTAACCTATTGACCTTAAGTTGATCACATGACTTGCTTTCCCAAACAAAACACAGGCTTTTTACTTGCTTCAACAATGTCATACTATTTATTTAAATATGTTTCCACTAACATCTGATAGTGCACTTAAGAGTCCCTGAATCAGAGTGGTTTCAGCATCTTCACTCCAAGTCCGGGTGGTCGCTGGAGCTACCCTGTCCTACTCGGGAGTCACAGTAGACATTGGGTTACTTAATTTTAAATTAAGTTAAATAACATGAGAAATTTATTTTCCTCAGATGCAATAGCCACATTTCACATACACAGGAAGTAGCATGGTGGCCAGCAGCTGCCATGTTAGACAGAGTGAAATAAACACCTGTTATCACAGAATGCTCTGTGAGACAGTGCTGGTCTATCAAACAGGATTCAAAACACAGAGTTCGACACAAGAGACAACACCAAGCAGGAGGTGACAAGCTCAGAATGATTTTGGTCAGTTTAACTTGACTTCTCCAGGCTACTTCTTCCTCACCTACTACCAGAGGGATTTATATAAGACCACCAAGTTAGAAGTTTTGGAAATCAATAAACCAACCAGTCTATTTGCCCAGTAACTTGCTATTGGCCTAGATGTCCCTAAAGATTCCAGTATTAATATGTCCAATACAATCTTCAGTGCTCCTCTTTAACTAAAGGATATCATTTATCTGTTTCAAACTTAAACTAAGAAGGCATAGCTATTAGTCTGAGGTATCTTGTCAGCATGATGACAGATGTTCCCAACTAAGGGCATTATCAACTCTAATTTTTCAGCCTCACCTTAGGCAGAATGTATCTCCATACTGAGTTACTTTGGACTAGACCATGTGACTGCTTTAGCCAATGGCACACGGGTGGAAGGGACATGCGTCGCCTTCACACTGTGCACTAAGAAGCTTTGCACATTTTTCTCTTTCCCTCTTCTGTCTCTATCACCACTGTGAAAGCTTCCTCCAGGGGCTACCTGTCTCTCATCGTGGGCTCTGGGACAAGCACTTTGGAGCAGGACTCAGTTCACAACTGGAATCAAAGGAGAAATTATTGATAATTCGCTTTAGGACTGGTTATTGTAAAAGAGAGATTAAATGTTTAAATCTAAAGAAAGAAAAAAGGAGAAACTGAAACACAACTTTAAGAATGAGAAAAACATTTAATCACAGATGCAAAATAAAATATGAGAGAATATTTTTGCAATTTTATGTTTACTTATTTTTAAATAAACTTTTTTTTTTTTTTTCACTAGGCAAAATAAGAGGAATCTCAGAGGGAAGAGGGGGGCCAGGGAGAGATTAACCAAAGAATTTATATGCATATATGCATTGCCCCTGGACACAGACAATAGGGCACGAGGGCCTAGAGTAGGGTCAAGGGAGGCAATGGGGAGGGGAGGGGATAATGGAGGGGAAACATCTATAATACCCTCAACAATAATTTTTTTTTTAATGACATAGGTGTTTCAAAAACAGATAGCAAGCATGAGTAGGCCAAGAACACAACAGAAATCAGAAAACTTGTCACAGAACAACACTCCTCAAAATAGTCAGACCAGGTGGCTTTATGGGGAACTCTTTCAAAGTTCCTAGGAAAGGAAATTCCTCTACTATGCAAAGTGTTCCAGAGCACAGAAACAAAATGCAAAAAAAATCATCTTATGAAATTGGCCTGACCCTTCTAACAAACCCAATGGATATATTTGTTGAAGAATAAATAACTAGGATAAATTAAAAAAGAAAAAGAAAAAAGAAAACCATGCATATTTTAGTAACCAATATAACTATGAATTTACTAGAGGCCTGGTGCATGAAATTTGTGCTCAGAGCGGGGAGGTATCCTTCAGCCCAGCCTGCACCCTCTCCAATCTGGGACCCCTCGAGATTTGTTTAACTGTCCATTTAGGCCCAATCCTAGTGGGATCGGACCTAAATGGGCAGAAGGACATCCCTCTCAAACTCCAGGACAGCTGGCTCCCAATCACTTGCCTGCCTACCTAACTGATTGCCCCCTAATTACTCCCCTG